AGTCCTCCTTGCCTTGTGCCTGGGAGCTTGGCTGATCCATTGTGAACAAATCCTTGGTGCCCCACTCAAGAAATAAAACAGTTTTCCTAATGTATTTTATTAAAGCAGGTATCTTTGTGGAGCACTCTTGGGGTACTACCTATATAACTGCTTGCCCACACAGAATTGTTTGTATACCACACTCACAAACATTACCTATTTTTTATTTCAGAAGTGGTCTGAAAGATACCTATTGACTAAGCTTTAAACAAATCTGAAATATGCTTACTTTTAAAATCCATGGCTTCTATTTTTAGATCTGAGAGAGGGCTTGCATATCGAAACACCTAGTTTTCTTTACCATAACAATTAGTCTAATAAAAATATTACCACTACCCAAAAATCCTGCCCTTCCAAGACAACGTTAAAAATATCAGAATCTGAAAAAGGAAACAGAACACATCCCTATGCACTGTATGAATAAGAGAGTCTGGTTTCACCAACTCTAAAAGAAAGCACAACGAAGCACAGAGCTCAACTGGTGATACCCTAGAGAAATTTTTAAGACTTAAACTAAGTGCACACACCACCAAGAGGATCCTTTGAAAGGAAAGTCAATTCAATTTTCTTGAACTTGCAACTCAAAAATGAACTGGAGCACAAACACTGCAATACACTGAAAAGAAAAAGCAACAAACCACCACAGTGAGGCTATTTAAAATGAAAATTACAATTTCTAAAGAAATAGCACTTACACCACCATGGTGTGCATGTCAATGTGCAAACACACAAATGTTGGCAGAAGAATAGAGGTCTCAGAGATGCCGTGTTCTTACAAGCCTCCTGAAAACAGACAGATAGAGGAAATAAATCTACTGCAGCTTCTACTAAGAAGGGTCCAGAGGGAGCCCCCCTGAATTACTGGATACCAAAAAAGTCCACATAGGGCTTTGGTGTCTAAAGAACTGTAAATAAACAAAGTCACAAGTGAAGGCTTCATTAGTTTCACTCCTTATAGAACCACTGGATGTGCTTTCTAATGTGTTATTAATTCATTGAACTCACTGCCAAAAGAAGGAAGCAAAGGACTTAATTAAAAAAAAAATTAATTCATGGAGAAAGCTTAAAGTTTGAGAAGGGATATAAATAAAAACTTATTTTCAGGACAGTAAGATAATCACAGGAGTTAAAGAAATAATCTTGTTTATGAACAATTTGTTCTGCCACCCCTCCAGAGAAACAGTTCTGCAATACACAAACTCTAATCCCAGAATCACACTGCAAAGAAGTAATTAACATGTCTCAGAAGTTCCACTAGGTGATTTGAACCAATTCCTGCTCAGACAAGCCCTTTCTCATGCCATACAAGTGTGACTGGCAAGATTTAAAACCTAATCACTGACCTAGCACTCATTTTCTATCCAGGATTCATAAGAACACAAATTTTAACTATTATGTGAAATGAAAGTTGTCACACATCAGGTCATGGATGTATCTTCATTCTGCCCATAATCTCTTTTTCCTTTTCTAGGCTTCAGAACACTTGGAGTTTGGGTTTTACTCTACCCAGAGGTTTGGGTTTTTTTTTTTTTTTTTGGATAGCTTCATTCTGAAGAAGCCACAACTTTTGAGATTAAATTTTCTATTTTAACCAGTCATTGCCCAAGCTTGTGCCACCAGTGCAAAGTACTCAGGGACTTTCCTTCACACTGAGCAATTGGGGAGGTATTTTGTATGTGGACCATGACAAGAAGTTGCATCCTCAGATAAAACCAATATACCCCAAGCTTTCATGGAGAGGCAGTGATTGCAAGGACAATTTGATGGATGGCGAAGTTCTTCATTCACACTAGCAGGACTAAAATTCTCTCAGGCTGAACCCAGGTGCTATGTCACTGAAAAATAAGCAAATTAAGCATAGAACTGAAGTCTGAAAGTTTCAGTTATCCATAAAAGCTGTATGTGTTGGGAGACATCATCTCCCAATGTAAAGTATTAGATTAATGAAGAATTTAATTGCTTAGTGCTCTTCATTTTTTTGATCTCTGATTAGCACATGATCATTTCCCTCACTGCTTCTATGTAACAGCACATTCTTGTAGATGAGAAGTTTTAAATGGGCCTACCACTTTGGAAACCGTGCTTCCATTCTCTAAACCATTTCCCTCCCAGAAAAACACACTTCTACACTGTGTTTGAGACAGACAAGTCATACCTAAGACTGAATTGTTCAGAAACAATTTACTATCATAAATATTCGTCTACTCCCATCATGCTAATTTTACTGGTGAAGAATGGAATCTTTTCTCTTTCTACTCTCTTTATTTTGCCAACATGGTAAAAAAAACCTTTAAAAATCCTGAAGCGCAGAAAGTCCAAACAAGACCAAGTGCAGGTCCCAGAATGAGAAAAAAAAAAAAAAAAAGTGGTTCGCCTGTGGAACATTTATTAAATGCTCAGTATTTAAATTCCAGATCCAAGAGCATTCAGCTTCTCCCTCTCACTTGGAACATTTTAAAGAACAAAAAGCAAACAAACAAAAGTGAAGCCAGCTTTAACATATTTCTATTTTTGGACAAATATTAAGAATTCACTGAGAAATCTGGAACACTAAGTAGGTATTGCCCTTGGCTGTACATTTCTGTTTGTCTTGAGCTAATTCCTAAGGAGGTCAAACCAATGAAGAACTAGGTTTACTCATCAAGATTAACACTCCTTGCAAAATTTGTGTGAGTTGCACACCAAGGGATAAATCTTAGAGCTGCCACACAGAGTCAGGAAAGTTTCACACAACGTTTGGGAAAAAGTCAGAGCCAGTCCAATTCCTGGGCAGAGTCACCATATGGAGTTTACTGCACTACCATACATTTTGGCCACTCCACATAGCTCTGCTGCCAGCAATGATAAACTGAACTGTTTTTTCACAAGATGTATTCCTAGAATCAAACAGTAAATCCCGGCCAGGGAGGGTCAGACAGCTCCTCTGAATCTTTATAATAACAAAAGGAATGAAAGAAAAACATCACATTTCAACAAACACTTTAGCACCCAAAATAGTGAAAAAAAAATTAAATAAGAGTATAAATTTCAAACACATGGCATGGAAAGCAAAAAGACACTCAAACCTATTTAGACATGAATTTATCTCCTGATAATGAGATGCTGTTGTCAGTGTGGTCAAAATCCCAACAGGCAGACACCTGTGAGAGATCCTTCAACTTCCTTCAGCCTCACAAATTATTGCACGCCTAATTTATTGAAGTACAAATAGAAAGTAGGAAGGCAGAGACAAGAAAGGCTCCAAATTAATGCTGCAGATTCCATACTGGGCACGCATGTCAGGTACTTCACATTCTCCTCTGCAGGAGAATACAGGAACAGCTGCAGTGGAAGAGCTGTTGAGCTCTGTGAAAACGTATCTTTGCCTCACTGAACCAAGTGCCCACAGCCAAGTAAGGCCAGGGATGGATCTGCCTGGGCTGGCTCACCAGGCTGTCCCCACTGCACATCCTCACTGCCTCACCCCTCAGGAGCAGCTCTAAGCCTCTGTAAGCCAGCAGGGAACAAGGTTTGGCTGGATAACCCTGTTATTGGCTACAGGATTTCACAGTGAAGTCGTCAAGGAACCTGAGCATACCCTCTTCTGCCAAAAAGGCTGAAAGTACTTCATCCATCACAGCTGTCTCCACTGTGAACCTCAGCTTAAGAGCTAACTCAATTGCTTTATGTGTTTTTAAATCAACAATTTACACATTTAGCTGTGATGACTTAATTTAGCTGAAGTAAATCTATGAGTTCTTTTAACTTTAAAGTTCTTTCAAAGGAGGTGTCAGGTGGTAACTGCTTACATTTCCACTGTAAATCCAGCTGTTTACTGCATGTTTCAAAACACAGATGCCTCTGAAATGCAGTCATATAAACAAAATGCAAACCCATCAGAGCCAGTGCAGAGACTGGCACTGCCTAGCATGGGTTTTGGATCAGACTCTACAGCGGTGTCCTTTTATCCTGGTCAGTTTCTTTTCCGTCCAGTTACTTGCCTCTGAGTTTAACTTAAGATTGTCAATCAAATTCTACCTTTAAGCTATCAGTTCAGCAGCTGAAAAAGATTTTAAGTGTTCAGACTAGAAGAGAATGGGATAAATGGCAGAATATAATGCATTTTTGACTTTTCCTGCATTCAAGATGAAATTTGGAATTGATTTCTACATCTGTCATTCTTATCTAAACTTCTCATGTAAAAATAATGGCTAAACCCACAGGATCTGACTTGGGAAGAAGGAAGCAACACTGGGACATTACACTCAGGAGTACTTGCATTTTTTTGTGTATGTAACACAGTCTGGGGGGTTCACCACAATAAAATTAACACAGTAAAATCAAAACCAGCAATGAACAAAATTTCTATCTGTCAAGGCTCTGGTCTGGATTCTCTCATGCAGCCATGGGGCTTTTGCTACCTTTGGCTTCTCACATGCATCTACTGATGTATTTGTAGAGTATCCCTCTACAGCAGCAGCAATGCAATCCAAAACACTCTAAATTCCAAAAAGCACCTCTTAAGGTCTCATGGTATTTAAGAAGACAGAAGAGCAACAAAGACCATCTGTTATTTCAAGTTAAATATCAATGAAGTTATCTACACATAAGGAAAATTACCAAAAATTGAATTGTCATCCACAACTACATCCCCAAAACATCAGTTTCAGCAACATCTTCATTACTTTTCCTTCTTTTAGTACTCTAAATAGTATAGAAATTTTCCTGTAAAATGGTAATTTGGTATTTATTAACATTTCGCAGAGAACCGAGACAAACAAAGATTTTTAAATAACCTGTCTGGACATTAAAGTCTGAGTAGCACATCTCTGACTAGCTGCAAAAAAGAGCTGAAATACACATCTGAACTAAATATGCAGCATGGCTGACATATTTGTATGTTGGTTCAGCTCTTCACTGACAGAAAAAAGAAACCCAGAAAACAAAACCCCCACTAATACAAGTCATTTAGCATTCCTTACCTTGGAACCTGCCAACATAGTTCCCAGCATTTTTGTTCCTTTTCCAATACCAACAACTGCAAAGACAGAAGAAGAAATGCTACTTCAAAACAGCCCTGCAGTTCCCTTTTTCAACACCATTCAATACTACATATTATGCTAGTCAGAAACTCAGCCTTTCATGCTCTGTTAGCATATGAAGAGAGTCAACACTTTTGAGAAAGCATCTCTGATGTCCAAACAACATGGAACTACTGAAAGGAAAAAAAGTCTAAAGCAAAAGATAAATAACCTTCATCTGATGTTAAAAAACTATAATTCAACTCCTACATTTATTTATCTTTTAATCACCAAAGAAATGGAGAGTGCAATCAACACTGCCTCTGGTTTGATGAAGGCTATGGCTCACCAATAATGAATGAACCCTTCACTGTAACCAAATAGTTTTAAAGGTTGATAGTGACCAAGAGTAATACAGCCAAGACAGCACAATGGAATTGTTTATCAGATTTGCAGGAAGAAAGCAAAATAATCAAAAGGCCCATTTTGCCTATTACTTTGCATGTACAGATTACAGTTATTTCAATCTTAACACCAGTATTCTAAAAAGCAGCAGTCAGCTTCTCATAAAAGAATGAGACAGAAGAAGAGCTCCATTTTATATTTTACTTTAAAGCTTTTTACAAGGTGCTTTCCCTTAAAATGATTTGCTATTGATTTTTTCCACATACAGCAATCCAAAGAAAATTTTAGGAGGAAATTAATTTTGTGTACAACTCATGGAATGTGTAACAGCTTATGTATTTCATTTAATAAAACTAGAGGAGTTAAGGGAGCTTTCCGGAAATCAGCTTCATGTTATCCAAGAGCCAGGACTGAAAACATCAAACAGAAAATGAACTCTGAAAAAAAAATAAATTTTTTTTCTTCTGTTCTAATGCTTCTCAATTTTTATGCTCTGAGACTCTTATGCTCTTAGATTGCTCCTTAGTTACTACTCCTCTTATTCCTGAGGGGTTTTAGTCACACAAGCCCTCGTGCTTGTGCTTTCATGCACCTTCAGTTCAACCTGTTCCTGCTATTTGCCAGATAGGAAAGAGCTGCAAGAAGGCTGAGAAAAGGAGATAAGCACAGAGATAAGACTTTATAACCAAGCACTTTTCTTGCAACATGATGACATAACTGACACTTCAACAGCTGAGCTGAAATTTGCTGAAGAGTGTCAAGAGATTCAATAGAATAATTTTAAAGAGACACTGAATGCTTTTGTGAACAAGATACTAACAATTTTCTCCATTAGTCATCAGCGTATGGAGACTGTGTGTTACTGAACAGTGACATAAACCCCACTTGAGAGACTACATTGAATGTAAAAGATTTAACTGAATTTTTATTTTTTTATACTTTTTCATGTTTTCTTCTACTGTGGAAGCATAATTCACTACTGCCATATAAAAATAAGCCAAATAAAATTCCCACTATACAGGAAGAAACGGTAAGCCCGAACCACAGCCCTAGAATAATACCAAAAGAAGATATTCAGCAAGATGTGACCTTGCCTTTCTCTCACATGTCATAGATCACTGACCTCTGCCTCCAAGGCTCTTCCTCATCTACATTTGCTGTTAGTAAGAGAAGAAATATAAAAGCATGTTTCTGATAAAGAGCACTGCTCAGTTATTGGCAGTACACCTGGCACACTAAGCAGGACTCTGTATCAATTAATTCCCAGGAAAAAAGTTATAGACATGCAGTACATAAAACCTGGGAGACAGCAGTATAGATCACAAAGGGTTTCAGAAAATTTAATACTTCCATCATGCTCCTGTCCATGAGGAAGGAAAGCTTTCTGCTCCACCACTCCATCCTGAAATCAGCACACACATATTCTGAATAACTAGTTTCTCTTGTGTCCTTCCCTCTCTCCTCATTACCTTACCTGAAACACACAAGAAATCTGGGCACATTCCCTTTCCCACTCCTCTCCAGTTTTGTCCCTTCCAATCCAGCTACCATTGACTTTTCCCTGTGTGCTTTGTATGGCAGTGAAATGAAAGATCCTATGCCTTTTTTCAATCCATCTAATTAAGATGATGTGCTTCTCTATCTATACCAAGCACATCAAGCCCAAATACTTTTTGTTATGCTGTAGAAGAAGGCTTTGGAGACTGCTTGCTATCGGAACAGTTGGAGAAGCAATTTAAAAAGCAGCAGTGGTTTTGCTTTTCCTTTCAATACTGTTGACTTTGCACAATGAGAAGCAGCATGCTCAAAGGGAACACCTGTGTTAAAGGAAAACGTCTGCTTCAGGAATGCACACTGAATTCTCTACTGAGTGGCCACAGAGTACAGGAAATTCAAACCAAACCAGGCAGTGCTCCATTCTAACCCAAGAATGTCACATTTTGCCATGTTCACAAGTGACAATTACCAGCTACAGACCTCTAGCAACACTCATAGGAACCAACCTCCCCTTGAAGCTGAATTCTTCCTGAGGGAACTCATTCATCAAAACTCAGAGCAATTACTTTCAGTGTATACTCAGAGTTGTACCTGTTTATTTTCAACAGCAAAAGCATATTGCTCTTATTTCTGCAAGCCAAGGAGAGCTACAAGGTTGTGATTTGAGCAAGCTGTAGTCTGCATGTTACTTATCAATAAAACTGTTGGTGACAAAGTATGATGTGGGAATAATCACAGTGGAGGTTTTAACACCAGCAACTGACATATCCTGTTCTTTAACAAAACAAAAAAATTCACTACCTGGGTTGCTATCAAAATTAAAAGACAAAATATCTTTTAAGACTTCTTTACGAAGCAAGACAGGACAGGTACCTATAGCTTTTTCTGTGCTGAGCTTGAAGAAAAGCAGCAGCTGAATTGTTATTATACATCTTTCTTTTGGCAAGTATTAGCAGCCCTAAAGGCTCCCTCAAAATCCCAGAATAGCATTACTTTGAGACAAAATAATTCAACAGATTATGATGACTATAAATCCCCAGCTTAAGTTAAAAAAGCCATCCATTTCTCAGGTACTTTACAATTCATTACACAAGAGTTTGTATTTTCCCACATGTAATAACCCAGAAGTTATTTCAGGATTTGGAAGACAGGAGAGAAGGCAGGAAGGAAGAATACAGCCTTCTGTTAAGAAACACGTTACATGCATGTAGAACTATATGCACAGAAAATTCTTCCAGAGTAATCAGTCCTTCCCCCAGAACCTGCCATGTGTATCCCAAATTGTTCCTTCACCTGACTTCATGCAGGCATCAAAATTGTATTCTGATGACTACAATTATGTTTTTCATTACCCAGAACTCCTGTGGCTGCACTGTCCAAAGTTCCACCATGTCCAATTTTCAAAACCTGATTTCTTTTGTTCCCGTTTGTTTGCACACCAGCTTCTGCAAATAGAAATTGAAAGGAAGCATTATAAAATAACCTTAGAATGTAGAAGAAAAATGGCACATATTTCCAGACTGCTAAAGGAGATAAAAATCAAATATTTAAACTATTAATTAGCAGTGTAGAAATTACTATACTGTAGAAGACCAATGATTAATTTAGATTTAATCCAACATCAAACAATTTGCAAGGATTTTCATTTACATTCTAATGACGTCTCAAATACTGTTACAAACTGATTTTTTGAATGTATTGGTAGCAAACCTGTGAAGCATGGAAGCATGGAAGAACCACCAACAGAGTTCCCAAAACATCTATTATACACTAATTTAATGCTACATATTCTGAACCAATTCTTGATGTATTTACTGCCTTATATTGGGACATATTTATTTGCACATTCACAGCCCTATGGAAACGGCAGTGGACTGAACTTGTTCACTGCTGCTTTCAAGCTGTCATTGTCCCAACCAACAAACTTCCTACACAGCTGATGACTCCAGGAATTTTGCAGAGTTCAATATCCCTTACTTATTAGTAATAAATATGACAAATGGTCTAAAGCTCCCTTACCCATATCTATTTATCTCTCCATTCAGGGAACCTGATTCTTCCCTACAAGGTGTGTGCCTACTCTACAGTTCACTACAGAGAAAATCAGGCTAAGCATTCACTAATCTGAAAGTACGTTCCCATTTCATCAGCAAGCGCCCAAAAGCCCAGACTAGATGATCAAGCCCCCATTTCCATCACAAAAAGAATATAGGCCATAGTCACTCACACCTTTGCAACGACTTCTTTTTTTTTCTTTCCCCGAATTTTTTTTTCCTTGACATACAGACTTCCTGTACTCAGAAAGAGCAGTTTCTGCGGACTGTGTCCAGGACTTTCAAACTTTTTGAAATACTATGGCTTTCACTCCTTTGATGATATTTTTTAATGGCAATAGGCAGTGGGACTGCAGCAGAACACCCTGGCAGTGCAGTACTGCAGAGATGCTGCTGATTCCCGTTCTGGCAGATGGGCACACCGTGTCCCTGGGACTGTCCCCAGCTCTCCAAGCAGCCTGGCATCCCCTGCACTGTGCAGGACTGGAGCTTCCTGCTGGGGCAAATCTCATCCCCATCCCGTCTCAGGTCTCACGTCCTGCTGTACCTCGGGTGGCAACAGGTGCCTGCCACAAGCAGCAAGTGGTGAAAGTGGGCTCACAGCTCACCGTGCAGTGTGACCAACACTGAATCTGACCAGGACAGTCTTTCCTTAAAGGCCTCCAAGGACACAACTCCACCACCTCCCTGCGCCACACATCCCAATGCCTAATCGGGCTTTCTGTGAATAAATTCCTCCTAATGTCTACCCTGAACCTCCCCTGGCGAAGCGAGCCAGCACGTACCCAGGAATGGCTCCATTCTCCAAGGTGGGCCATGCTATGGCTATGAACTACTATCAAAACAAACAAAATAACCCTAAAGAGACACTAAAACCCTCTTATGCGCCGCTTTTCTGACCGCTGAGCAAGACGGTGAAATGGTTTGCCGGAACTTGTAGCTCACGCACCCCAAGGACCGCACACACCTGACCCCAGCCCACAGCCGCGCCGGGCAGGGCACGCCTGGCCCGACCTCTCCGGGTGTGGCGGCCCGGCCGCCGCCGCTCACCTGCCAGCAGCCGCTCCTTGAGCAGGTTGAGCACGGCGGCCGAGGTGGGTCCCTTGGGCTTGCGGACGGCGAAGAGCCCGCTGAGCGAGAAGAGCTTGTCGGCCGCGCGGCCCAGCGCGGCGCCGCCCGCCTCCCCCGCCATGCTGGCGGCAGCGCGCCCGGCCGGGGCCGCCGGGAACTGCAGCCGCGCGGGCGGGACGTGAGGGAGGAGCCGTGAGGGACTGCGTTAATGTCGCTTCCAAAATCGCCGGCGGGGGCATCGGCGGGCGCTTGATGTGAAAACGAAACCGAATTCCATGCTAAAATCTAAAATCAGTCAATGTAATCAAAAAACTAACCCCAAAATTATCTGGTAGGCGGTTCCACCAGACACAGAGCGATTTGCAGGCATCGCTGGGGAGGTGCGCTGAGCAGTGTATTGCGGTACCTTGGATGCCCAAATGGAAAGAACTGTATTTTGACAGGACAAGAGGACATAGTTTCAAGCTGCGCCAGGGGAGGTTTAGTTTGGGTATTAGGAGAATTTCTTTATAGAAAGGGTGATCACACACTGGAACGGACAGCCCAGAGCTGTGGTGGAGTCACCGTCCCTGGAGGTGCTCAAAGACAGGCTGGATGTGGCACTCATTGCCACGGTCTGCTTGGTACAGTGATGTTCTGTCATAGGTTGGACTCGATGATCTCAGAGGCCTTTTCCAACCTAATTGATTCTGTGATATTCTGCTGAGTAGTTGCTGTGGCCATTAATCTTCCTGCCTCTGTATGTGTTATATAGAGAGAGTGCTGGGAAGGCTTCTCTTGGATCTCTCGCCTCCATACATAAGTACAGTGTGTGGGTTTTCACATTTAAACAAAGCATGCTTGAGCAAGGCACCGAGAGCTTGGATGCTTCATTCATGGATTTAATTTATTCATTTGCATAAAAAATACATGTCTGACTAAGGGCTATGCATGTTCCCTTTCCAGAGCTTGAGAGAAGCAAATCTTCCTGCTGAAGTCAATGGCCATCTCTGTGCAGAGCAAGATCAAGGTCCCTGTGTGAGTTTTCAGCCTTTGCTGGAGACAGTGGTTCATTCTATGCCTTCCCCAGCAGCTGCACAGGGCACAGAGCTTCCAGCTGCAGCTGCCACCGCTGTGTCCATGAGATGGGGAATGGCTTCCTGCCACCAGCAATGCCAACCAGCCTCCCCTGCACTTCTCCTGTGCATGTTATTAACCAGGCACCTTATCTGCTTGGATCTCGTCTGCAGCGCTGTAATGTGGCTGTGGAAATATTTGCTGTTACCATAAGCTGCGGGGGTGGATACCCTGGTGAGTGGTGCAGGTCTTCGCAGGACATGGAAGGGAGGTATGAGAGTCCTTCTCTGGAAGATGAAATGGCAAAACACACCGGGGGAAGAAGTCAGCAGGAGAATTGCTACTGATTTACATGGAGTTAAAATTTAAGCACTGTTGTGGAAGGCATATTGTAAATTGTGATGGAGCTTTTGTTGCAGACATGCTTTAATCAGGTTGTTTGAAAACCAATTCTCGCCAATTCCCTGCTAAAAAGTGCTTGAACACAGATTGCTCTCTAGGTGGGCTCCAGCAAAACTATTTAAACATGACCATTAAGAAATGGTGTTAGTGAGCTTTCAGGCAGGGAGATTGCAGCACAAGGACTGAAATGCAAACCTGTCCCACTGTCATGGCCAGCAATATTGTTGTGTAAGCAGACTGCTCTGAACACATCACAGAGGATCAGAGGGAGATTATACAGAAATGAGAGCTCCACTCTTGGCATAAAGTTGTCCTTAAATGCATCTCAACTTTCTAAAAATGCAGTAGCAGACAGGCTTGTGAAAAAACTCCCTGTGCTGACTTCTCAGGACTGACCTGCGCTGAGAAGAGTCTAAAATGAGGCCATTAACCTGATATAGGCATAGGCTATAAGCTGAGGGCAGTGTCTGACCCCCAGTACTGTTTCTGCAAATGGCTAACAGTTTTTTGATTTGTTTTGGGGTTTTGGGGTTTTTTTTGTTTTGTTTTGTGTTTTTTTTGGGCCTTTTTTTTGTTTGGTTGGTTTTTTTTTTTGTTTAAAGGGAAGTGTTTGAGGTATCTAAAAAATGACCCCCCCACTCTTGTTTTTAGTATTGAGCAGGAAGTTCTTGTAGGTCTCCCAAACTTCTGCATCTGCAATTAAAACACAACACTTTGTAATTGCAGCAGATGGAGTCTTTGAATGCTTAGAAAGAAAAGGTTTGGTTTAAGTTCAGTGGGCATTGGATAAGGGCCCAAAATAAAAATTGTGAAAAACAACTAATGACTGCCAGTATTTTATTTCGCTGGAAGTGTATGTATACACTAATCTCACATGGCTCTCTTTGTGGGGCAAGGTTATTCAGCATTCAAAATGGTGGGAATCATGGACCAAACTGTTGATCTCAAGGGCTTTATTTCAGATTTTCCTTGTGTTGCTTGTGATTAAAAGTCATTACCATCTGCTCGGTAGCTTATTTGAAATGAGATGTTTATCTCCAACGATTCCTAGCCAAGCCAGGATTCACAACGACCAAAAGCATGATTAGAGTTATTGACTTTATTTGCAACCCTAATAAAGTGGCTCAGTAAATGGCTGAAAGGATGATGTTGTTTTATGCATAGAACATGGCAGGTCTGGTAGAGGCAGTCAAAATCCTCCATGCAGGTCACTGGAACTGCACAAAGCAATGCCTTGAGGAGCTGGTGCAATTGTACAGAGGAGATAATGGATAGTAGCTGCTGTACATGGAAACAGCAGATGAGTCCTGTTGCAGGAGAGGAGAAATCCCTGACTTGCTTGTGCAGAACAGATGCAACACTTCCTTCTACCTCCTCCAGCAAGATGTTCCTGCTTTGTGTGCTTTCAGACTGGCTTTGGATGAGGTAATGCTCACAGACCACAATGCAGAAGAAATGCAACTGCATTACAGTTTAGGAAGCAGATTCAGCAGCAAGAGACCATTCCTGTGTTTGTGCTCATTTCATGATTCCAGCTTCATTATCTGTACCCATAACAACTGCAAGGAGGTCAATCACAGCACAGGGTCTCCTGTAAAACAAAGAGTTACAGCTGTTTGAAAGTTCAGGTCACAGTCATGTAAACAGCTCCCTTGTCAAACAGAGGGATTCTGTCTGGAACAGGGACTATCAAAGCCTGAGATATTTTTTTTCCCTTTAACCGTTCTCTCTGTTTGGATAGTAAGTTGTCAATAAATAACACTAATACATTTGTTCATTCAGTCCCATTCAGACGGGCCTGAAGCACATATTCACATATTCATCATGTTTGAGTGGTCCTTCTGTACAAAGGCAGGTTCTTCAGTATCTTGTTGAACTGCAGCAGGTTTGAAACAAGAATGTCAGCTACTGAATGCAAGGGAAAGATAGCATACACCCATCCTAGGTACACCAATCCTAGGCTTGGCAATTAGTAATTTTCCCCATGAAAAAAGATTCCTAAACTGCAAGAATTTAGTGAGTAGATTTTTGCATTTTGTCCAGAAGATCAGTAGTCAAGGTTTACACCAATCTGGATTTTAAATCTAGACTTATTTATTTAAAGAAGCAATTTTTTTTTTAGATTTTTATGCTGGATTCTCTGTTATTTGTGGGATTCTTTTTCACTGAGAATAGTTTAGGCAAGAGGATGTTTTGGTAAGCTGATTCAATGCAGATTTAAAGTGCCAATTTGAATTGAACTGGACAGACTACAGTAGGATCCAAATGTTTTTAGCTATTTCTTCTTTATGTGAAATGCAGTTTTGTCAGTCAGCTAAACAAGGAAACAGCAATTTTTCCTGACCACTGGTACATGTAGGGATACAGAAAAATATGACAGAGCTTTCAATTGCTCCTTGTGGACCCTTTATAAACATATTGCATTAGTGAGGATAGATCTGGAAAGTTACTTTTAATCTCTGATATGTGCCCAGATCTGTCTGTAATGACAGAGGACTATGCATGCTCTGGAATCAGAAGTTTCAGTGATGCTGAGGGGAGAAAAATAAGAAAATACATTTTGCAGATCTTTGATTTTTCTGCTAATAAAAGTCTCAGTGGGATTCTCAATTCTTGTTTAAATTCACACAGTTTCTTGCTACAGATTCTGTCAAAGAAGTTATTTTCCACCAACCTGCATCATAATTAGGAATGATGAAGAACTCACCAGATGTGCATGTGGAAGAAGGCAACATATGAGAGATTGTTTATATGAACAATTTAAGTCCAACCTGCCCCTCTGTAAATTCAGAACATAAGGTTAAAATTATCTAAACAGTTTTACAGCTGAGAAGCTGCTAAATGCCAATGCTAGAAAATAAATTCAGTAATGAGTTGATCTGGAGTGTAATTTTTTAAAAAATTCTCAGTCTTGACTTGGAGATTCTGGGAGGCAGGGAAAAAATAGATCTGTATCTTCACCGGCAGTTCAAAATTATACCCATTTTCTCAAGTGGCTTTGTACTATTTCAGCATTCAGATAAATGTGTTAATTATCAGCCCTTTGGCAACACTTTCTCATCTTGTGAGCACACATACAGACTCTGATGAATGATTTATGATGAATGTGCAGAAAAGAGCATACCTGAGCTCCTCAAGTGACCTCTTTTCCTCACCTATTCACTCGAGAGAAGGAGGAGATTGTACCTCCAGAAAAAAAACCCAACATCTTCTACATCTACCATTAAACTCATGTTAAAGTTAAATAAAAGTGTAATTTTCTTGGTACAAGAAAGTCTATGAGAGCCCCACCTGTGGAGAGTGTAAAGCTTCTCTCCCAGCACTCTCCTGCACGTCCAGGTTCAATGGGCTGTCACTGCAGAGGTGGCAGAGCCATCTCCTCTGCAGAAACTGGGGCAGCTCAGGTCCCACTGCCACTGCTGGAAGCCTGAGAAATGGCTGGGGAAACAAGAATGATGCTGCTAGGAGTTTCCTTCTCCCCTTACATGGCCTCTCAGCTTTTTGTGGTCAGCAGCTGGAGGTATTTTTAGCCAAAGCTGGAACATGGACCATTATATTTGCCTTTTTTCCAATGGGTCTTTCAGCTGTTCTCTACTCTGCCTAATTGCTCTGAAGCCATAAGTCCATTCAGCTTTTACTCTGTGCAGTGACTTTCTCAAGTCA